GACCCCACCCCCCCCCCCCCCAGTGCCCCGGGGGGGGGGGGAGGGGAGAGGCGGGGAGCCACAACGCACCCCCCCCAGTGACCCCGGAGGGGGAGGAAGGGAGGGGCGGGGAGCCACAACGCACCCCCCAGTGACCCCGGAGGGGGAGGAAGGGAGGGGCGGGGAGCCACAACGCACCCCCCCCAGTGACCCCGGAGGGGGAGGAAGGGAGGGGCGGGGAGCCCCTACGCACCCCCCCCAGTGACCCCGGAGGGGGAGGAAGGGAGGGGCGGGGAGCCCCTACGCACCCCCCCCAGTGACCCCGGAGGGGGAGGAAGGGAGGGGCGGGGAGCCCCTACGCACCCCCCCCAGTGACCCCGGAGGGGGAGGAAGGGAGGGGCGGGGAGCCCCTACGCACCCCCCCCAGTGACCCCGGAGGGGGAGGAAGGGAGGGGCGGGGAGCCACAACGCACCCCCCCCCAGTGACCCCGGAGGGGGAGGAAGGGAGGGGCGGGGAGCCCCTACGCACCCCCCCCAGTGACCCCGGAGGGGGAGGAAGGGAGGGGCGGGGAGCCCCTACGCACCCCCCCCAGTGACCCCGGAGGGGGAGGAAGGGAGGGGCGGGGAGCCCCTACGCACCCCCCCCAGTGACCCCGGAGGGGGAGGAAGGGAGGGGCGGGGAGCCCCTACGCACCCCCCCCAGTGACCCCGGAGGGGGAGGAAGGGAGGGGCGGGGAGCCACAACGCACCCCCCCCCAGTGACCCCGGAGGGGGAGGAAGGGAGGGGCGGGGAGCCCCTACGCACCCCCCCCAGTGACCCCGGAGGGGGAGGAAGGGAGGGGCGGGGAGCCCCTACGCACCCCCCCCAGTGACCCCGGAGGGGGAGGAAGGGAGGGGCGGGGAGCCCCTACGCACCCCCCCCAGTGACCCCGGAGGGGGAGGAAGGGAGGGGCGGGGAGCCCCTACGCACCCCCCCCAGTGACCCCGGAGGGGGAGGAAGGGAGGGGCGGGGAGCCACAACGCACCCCCCCCCAGTGACCCCGGAGGGGGAGGAAGGGAGGGGCGGGGAGCCCCTACGCACCCCCCCCAGTGACCCCGGAGGGGGAGGAAGGGAGGGGCGGGGAGCCCCTACGCACCCCCCCCAGTGACCCCGGAGGGGGAGGAAGGGAGGGGCGGGGAGCCCCTACGCACCCCCCCCAGTGACCCCGGAGGGGGAGGAAGGGAGGGGCGGGGAGCCCCTACGCACCCCCCCCAGTGACCCCGGAGGGGGAGGAAGGGAGGGGCGGGGAGCCACAACGCACCCCCCCCCAGTGACCCCGGAGGGGGAGGAAGGGAGGGGCGGGGAGCCCCTACGCACCCCCCCCAGTGACCCCGGAGGGGGAGGAAGGGAGGGGCGGGGAGCCCCTACGCACCCCCCCCAGTGACCCCGGAGGGGGAGGAAGGGAGGGGCGGGGAGCCCCTACGCACCCCCCCCAGTGACCCCGGAGGGGGAGGAAGGGAGGGGCGGGGAGCCCCTACGCACCCCCCCCAGTGACCCCGGAGGGGGAGGAAGGGAGGGGCGGGGAGCCACAACGCACCCCCCCCCAGTGACCCCGGAGGGGGAGGAAGGGAGGGGCGGGGAGCCCCTACGCACCCCCCCCAGTGACCCCGGAGGGGGAGGAAGGGAGGGGCGGGGAGCCCCTACGCACCCCCCCCAGTGACCCCGGAGGGGGAGGAAGGGAGGGGCGGGGAGCCCCTACGCACCCCCCCCAGTGACCCCGGAGGGGGAGGAAGGGAGGGGCGGGGAGCCCCTACGCACCCCCCCCAGTGACCCCGGAGGGGGAGGAAGGGAGGGGCGGGGAGCCACAACGCACCCCCCCCCAGTGACCCCGGAGGGGGAGGAAGGGAGGGGCGGGGAGCCCCTACGCACCCCCCCCAGTGACCCCGGAGGGGGAGGAAGGGAGGGGCGGGGAGCCCCTACGCACCCCCCCCAGTGACCCCGGAGGGGGAGGAAGGGAGGGGCGGGGAGCCCCTACGCACCCCCCCCAGTGACCCCGGAGGGGGAGGAAGGGAGGGGCGGGGAGCCCCTACGCACCCCCCCCAGTGACCCCGGAGGGGGAGGAAGGGAGGGGCGGGGAGCCACAACGCACCCCCCCCCAGTGACCCCGGAGGGGGAGGAAGGGAGGGGCGGGGAGCCCCTACGCACCCCCCCCAGTGACCCCGGAGGGGGAGGAAGGGAGGGGCGGGGAGCCCCTACGCACCCCCCCCAGTGACCCCGGAGGGGGAGGAAGGGAGGGGCGGGGAGCCCCTACGCACCCCCCCCAGTGACCCCGGAGGGGGAGGAAGGGAGGGGCGGGGAGCCCCTACGCACCCCCCCCAGTGACCCCGGAGGGGGAGGAAGGGAGGGGCGGGGAGCCACAACGCACCCCCCCCCAGTGACCCCGGAGGGGGAGGAAGGGAGGGGCGGGGAGCCCCTACGCACCCCCCCCAGTGACCCCGGAGGGGGAGGAAGGGAGGGGCGGGGAGCCCCTACGCACCCCCCCCAGTGACCCCGGAGGGGGAGGAAAGGGGCAGGCGGCTCTCGGCGCACAGCAGGGCTGGGGCATTTTCCTGGCAAGAAGTCCAAGGGCCCCTTGCCCTGTGGCCAAAGCCCATGTGCGAACGCCTCCCCGGCAGCAGCAAGCCCCAGGGAACAGGGCAGGGCAGTAACACTGCCCACACAGGGGCAACCCCTCCCCTCCAGGCGCAGGCAGGGACCCCACAGCAGTTACCCTCCAGCCCCCCCATGGAGCCCCCTGCTCCTTCCCCCGCCAGCCAGCCATT